GCTGAGAGAGATCTTGGAGTCATAGTTGACTCCAAGATGAACATGAGCCGGCAGTGTAACGAGGCCATCAACAAAGCCAATCGCACTTTGTCGTGAATTAGCAGATGCATGACCAACAGATCGGGGAGGTGATGCTCCCCCTCTATGTGGCATTGGTCAGGCTGCAGTTGGAGTACTGTGTCCAGTTTTGGGCTTCAAGAGGGACATGGAGGATCTGGAGAGGGTTCAGAGGAGGGCCACTCACATGATTAGTGGTCTCCTTGAAAGACCCTACAAGGAGAGGTTGAGAGATCTGGATCTCTTCAGGCTATATAAAAGACAGGGGGTTGACCTTTTATAACTGCCTATAAATTTATCAGGCGAGAACAGCAGGGAATTGGGGATGCACTGTTTACCAGAGCGCCCCAAGGAGTAACTAGGAATAATGGGAGTAAACTAGTGGAGAGTGGATTTAGGTTAGACATTAGGAAGAATTTTTTTACAATAAGGGTGGCCAGAGTCTGGAATGGGCTTCCAAGAGAGGTGGTCCTATCACCTAACTTGGAGGTCTTCAAGAGGAGGCTTGACAATCACCTGGCTGGGGTCATCTGACCTTGGTCCTCTTTCCTGCCAGGGGCAGGGGTTTGGACATGATGATCCATTGGGTCCCTTCTGACTCTATAATCTATGAAAAGGGCACAGCAGCCCCTTGGCTCTCCAGGGAACTAGCAGACCTCTTGCATCTAAAAAGACGGACCTACAAATGATGGAGGACTGGATCCACCACCAAGGAGGAATACCCAGCACAGGTTCGGACCTGCAGGGAGCAAACCAGGAAAGCCAAGGCTGCAACGGAACTCCAACTAGCTACAAGCATCAAAGACAACAAAAAGTCCTTTTTTAGATATGTGGGGTGCCGGAGGAAAAGCAAGGCCAACACTGGACCCCTACTAAACCAGATGGGACAACTGATGACTGACTCCCAGGAAAAAGCCAACTTGCTAAATGGGTACTTTGCATCAGTCCAATGGGATGCCCCTGCCCGCTACGGGACAGGGAAGCCCAGGCAAGGGAGATTCCTTACCTTCAGTCAATGCTGACCTCGTGAAGAAACACCTTGAGAGGCTGGATACCTTCAAGTCAAACAGCCCTGACAGTTTACACCCCAGGGTACTCAAGGAGTTGGCTAGCATCATAGCCCAGCCACTGGCATGGATCCTTGAGAACTCCTGGTGCTCTGGTGAAGTGCCTGATGATTGGAAGAAGGACAATGTGGTGCCTATCTTCAAGAAATGGAGGAAAGTGGATCCACCAAACTATAGGCCCATCAGCCTGACCTCTATCCTGGGGAAGGTCTTAGAAAAGATTATGAAACAGGCCATTCTTAACAGGCTGGCCAATGGCAACATTCTGAGGAATAGCCAGCATGGGTTTGTTGCAGGTAGGTCTTGCTTGACCAATCCCATTTCCTTCTATGACCAGGTGACCTATCACCTGGACAAAGGAGAAGAGATTGATATCATATATCTTGACTTTAAAAAAGCCTTCGATCTTGTATCCCATGATCACCTCTTAATAAAATTGGCTAACTGTGGCCTTGGTCACACCACGATCTGCTGGCTGGGCAATTGGCTCTGTGGTAGGACCCAGAGGGTGGTGGTTGATGGAAGTCAATTGTTGTGGTGCCCTGTGACCAGTGGGGTCCCCCAAGGCTCTGTACTTCGGCCTATACTATTTAATATCTTCATTAATGATGTGGACATTGGTATCATAAGCGGACTGGCCAAGTTTGCTGGTGACACCAAACTATGGGATAAAGTGTCCACACCTGAAGACAGGAGGGTGATCCAGGCTGACTTTTGACAGGCTCAGGAAATGAGCGGACAAGAACCTGATGGTGTTTAACACTGAAAAATGCAAGGTTCTCCACCTTGGGAAGAAAAACCTGCAGCACCCTTATAGGCTCGGCAGTGTTACACTGGCTAGCACTACAGATGAAAGGGGACTTGGGGGTCATGATTGACCACAAGATGAATATGACCCTGCAATGTGATACTGCTGCTAGAAAAGCAAGCAAAACGCTTGCTTGCATCCACAGATGCTTCTCAAGTAAATCCCAGGACATCATCCTCCTGTTGTACTTGGCCTTGGCGAGGCCGCAGCTAGAGTACTGCATCCAGTTTGGGGCTCCACAATTCAAAAAGGATGTGGAGAAGCTTGAGAGAGTCCAGAGAAGAGCCACGCGCATGATCAGAGCTCAGGAAAATAGACCTTACGACAACAGGCTTAGAGCCATGGGACTCTTCAGGCTGGAAAAGCACAGGCTCAGGGGCGATCTGGTGGCCACCTATAAGTTTATCAGGGGTGCTCACCAGGATCTGGGGAAACATCTGTTCACCAGAGTGCCCCAAGGGATGACAAGTTCGAATGGTCACAAACTCCTCCATGACCATTTCAGTTTAGACATAAGGAAGAACTTTACTGTCCAAGCCCCCAAGGTTTGGAATAGATTGCCACCGAAGGTGGTTCAAACACCTACTCTGGACTCCTTCAAAAGACATCCGGATGTTTATCTTGCTGGGATCCTATGACCCCTGCTGACTTCCTGCCCTTGGGGCAGGGGGCTGGCCTCAGTGATCTTCCAAGGTCCCTTCCAACCCTAATGTCTATGAAATCTCCTGAAGTCCCTTCCAGCCTCACTTTGCTATGATTCTAAGACAAAAATTAAAGAGACACAGAGAAATAAGGACAAATACACCAAATGCAAAGGTCTCCCCTGGATTCCAGGGAACCATTGGTGGCACGTAGGGTGTGCACATGGGTGCACGTGCACCCCCTGAGCGTGGTAGTGCACCCCCTGCAAAAAGTCTCTGTCAACACTGCCAGCAGTGCCTGCGGGCAGGTGCCTCTCTTCAACCCCCTCCCCCCCACCGCCGACACTGCCAGCAGCGTCTGTGGGCGGTCTGTGATCACCACTGGCCACCACCGACACTGCCGGCAGCATCTGCGGGTGGTTGCCGAACGCTGGTTGGCGCTCACCACCCCTCTGCTCCTCCAGTAACAGCACCACAGCCACCTGCAGGAACTCACTGTGCCCCCCCCACCCCAGCCTCCAGGGGCACACGGTGTTCATGCAGGGAACCAAACCTGATGACTATGGCATGACTAGTTTGTCTTGAAAAACTGATTGGTGAGGATTAAGAAAGATTTACCTTTTGGAGCATACGCCACTAGCCAAACAAAGGACCTTATTCAGTGAGGTCAACAACAACCAGACCAAGCGCAAATAGTTTCATAAACTTGAAAATCTGGTTTTGCTCTACTGTACTTGAATCGCAAAGGTCCACATCACTTGACCTATGTAGGAGCTGATTATTGCTGGATCACCCATCCGCTCAGTTATGTCACTCAAATTGGTTCCCAAATGATGGCTGAAGCAGAAACAATTATTACAGAAGGTCAATGACCTAATCAAGAGAGGACCCAGTCAAGAGAGACCTCTTCCATCAGCACATCAAGAGCCAACAATGGGAGAATATCAGCAGCACTTTAGTGGCTGCAAAGAAACACTTGGATTCTGTACCAGGAAACACCAAGACCAGTTTGATCAGGGTGACCAGGAGATCCAAGAGTGGACTGACTGCAAATGTAAGGCCTTTTGTGCTTACAAATTGATAACGCGTATAAAGAAGGTGAATTACGAAGAAAAGTTATGAGTCAGGACTAATGGGAAAAGAGAAGAGTTAGAAAGAATCTTGCCATTTTTCTAGATAAGGCTTGTATTTGCATAGTTGAATGCTAAACATTTTTCCTTCCCGAAAAGCTTACTTTGCAGAACCAAAAAGACATTTCATAACCCTCCCCCCAGCAAAATAAAAAAATGGGTGTAAACTTTGTTTTCCTTCTGTACAATAATGATTTACAGGAGCAGCAAATCTATAGTAGCAGAATAGTTTGTTCTTGCTTTCTGCTTATATTAAAAGCTTTTCCCTAAGAGAAATTAAATCATTTCATATTCCACCAAACTTAAAATGTAGATAAAATGTACTACAGTTTAAAATGCCAAAATCACATTAAGGCTTTACAGACATTATAATCCTCCCCTTCCCATGATATATATTTAAATTTTAAAACAACTACATCTTACCAATCCAGTAGCTCTTCAGTTACTCTTCTCAATCAACCACATTTAAAAATATAGTTGAAGGTGACTGTCCAGTGATGGTCTTCAACAAATATTTGCTATTCCAAAGTATAATGGTCTTATTTTGTCTGTTAGAAATTAACTGATTGGTACACAGTGGAAGATGTATTTCCTTTAAATGGTAAAATCAGGGAGAGGCATATTCCAGTAAACATCTTATTGATCTAAAAGAAACAAAATAATGTTTCCCTGGAATTCTCTTCTGCACATTGAAGCAATTTCAACAATAGAGATGGAGACTGCCATTACCTAAAATAGCCTAGGGACTGGTAGTTATGGCAGTCCCTAATTTTGTTTCATCTAAAAGAAACAAAATAATGTTTTGTACTTTCCATTGATCTTGAATGATCAAATCTGATCTTATCTTGGCAGCTGATCTCTGGGTTTTATTGCAGTAATGTGAATAGGCCCCTCAGGAAAGCTAGGGCATGGAAATGCCTAGTTGAGGATACCTAAGTTCATCATGGGGGCACAGAAGGGAATTGGTGAGGTTTTATTCACCAAGGCACCCCCGGAGGTTACAAGAAATAATGGCCACAAGCTAGCAGAGAGCAGATTTAGATTGGACATTAGGAAGAACTTCTTCACAGAGAGTGGCCAGGGTCTGGAACGGGCTCCCAAGGGAGGTGGTGCTCTCCCCTACCCTGGGGGTCTTCAAGAGGAGGTTAGATAAGCATCTAGCTGGGGTCATCTAGACCCAGCACTCTTTCTTGCCTATGCAGGGGGTTGGACTCGATGATCTATTGAGGTCCCTTCTGACCCTAACATCTATGAATCTATTTGGCTTAGGCATGAAATGAGTACAGACGTATCCAGCCCTGTCAAAATGGCGGCACCTTTGGGCATGTGTCAATATAGAACTTTGTGTTGATAGAATATTATTGGTAGAAATATATTCTCTGGCTCCCCAATTCCTAAAGGATCCTGAAAGAATCAAGCCACAAATACCAAGAAGAAGGTTACAAACCCAAGATGCAGGAGGGGATCGAATCCAGTCTACCAAACGTTGCAAGTAACCACATCGTAGAAACTTTTAAAATACGCATTTTGAAAGTGTATTATTTCCCTTCTTCCCCCCTGCTGCCTGATCCAGACATATTCCAACCCCTAGCAACTTGCATCCGATATAGGAGGTAAAGGAAAGTTACTGTTGTATATACTGTTGCGGTCATGTATACTACTGTGAATATGAATAAGGTCATGATGGGAATGGAAAGGGAATGGCACATACAACTTCCATTCAGCACTCTTTAACCAAAGTAGCATTGTTCTTAGCTTTGAACCCTGCCCTTGCTCTACAATTCTGTCTTCTATTGGTGTTGGTAGAAATTTGACTTGAATGAGGACTTAGACTGAATGCTTAGACTGAGAGGCTAAGGGTATGTCTATGGTCAGAAGAAGGTATGAAACAGTCTCTGGGGCTTTGAATCTCTCAAGGGAGATGGAAAACTGTAAACTTTCTCTTTGCTGGACCATATGAACTTCAGGCAGTTTTCTCAGAAAAATATAGGCAGCTGTTAAGTGTATTGTTTCTGCTTGTTTCAATAGAATTGTTTTTCTCCAAAGTCATTCATGAAGCCACATTGTATTTCTCTACCTCCTGCTGAGTACTCCTTTTCTGGCAGTACCTCCCCCATGCAGAGTAGTGCTTATATCTCAGTAGCCCTATTGATTTAATTGATTTTGATGGAGCTTCTTAAGGTATAAAGTACCAGTTGGCACATGGGCAAGACTCTTACAGGCTGCCTCAGCAGGAGTGCTTCATGGTATAGACAATTAGAGTCCTACATTAGCAGAGGTCTCATAGTGGGCACATAAAGTAATGGCAAAACTGTACTTTATACCAGTATAGGTCTCCCTCCTGCCTCCCACCCCCTAAGAGCAAAACAAATTACACTGAGAGAAAGCAAAGTCTTGCTGGTGTACTTGGTGACCTGGGGGTGTCTGCCTGCACAGCTATGTTCATAGGTGGATCTAGGATTTTGAAAGGGGGGTGCAGGTGTTGTGGTACATCATCATATATAACACAACACATGTTTTTTCTTCGGTTAAAAAGAAACTAGAAGGTGTACTAATACAGTAGGGGCCTAGAATTATATTATTCAGTTTGGGTGAAGCAAAAAAACACAAAACAAACAAAAAAGCCAACCCAATTTCATTGGAAGGTGCTTTGAATTGCTATATCATATATTGTCTATAAAGACACAACAACCTATGAAAAAGTAATCAAAAGATGTTGTTTCATTAATCCTGCAGCTGTTAAAATTAAACGTACATCATTCAGCTTTATAAAACAAAATCAAACCTCTTGAACATCTTGACAGTGTATTCAGTGCTTCACTGAAAATGATTTCCGCATGAGTTAATGTTCCTCTGAGTTAAGGTTTCCATACCAGAGTTAATGTTTCTAGCTAGAGTTAAAAACAGTGTCAGGATGGTGAAATAGGTACGTGACCAGGAGCAGCTAACAGACAGCAGAATTGCAGAAGAAAGGATAACTTGATTAATGGGACTATTAAAGATCATTATACAAGGATGGAGGGTCATTAACACTTGTGGAATAAAGAGCTTAGGGGGAATCAGGTAAATTTATAAAGAGCCATCAAGTCAGTTGACTCTCTCACTGCTGCCTGAATAGAAATGCTGCCCCTACTTCTGCCACTGTCAGGCAGTTGGTTTTAAACTTTGAGTGGACCAGAAAACAAAGGAGGGTGAAATTGTACCACTCCACTTCTGGATCTGCCCCTGGGTATGTTGCTCATGAATTCATACCTTTTGTACCCCAGATTGCCACCACTAATGCCAGCAGAAGTCTGTTCTGTCAACCTAGTCATAGACTAACCTCAAATAACTGAGAGTATGTGATTCCAAATGCAAAGGGTGGGGTCAAAGTCTTGTGGCTCATTTAATTGCCCTTATGCCAGGGCTCTGATGAGAGGTTTTGAGAACCCTGTTCTTTACCTATGTCAAACAATGTTTCCTGTCATAATCAACCAAGGGCAACTCCCTTTCAGGCTTGTGATTTACTGGCTTGTGTCATCACCAGTTGTTCCTGAATGAGTTTTCCTAGTGAAGATGCAGGCTAACATTTTTTACCTTTATATATCTGGTCAAAGCCAGCCATAAGATTCCCTAGAACTGATCTTGATCTGCTAAATGTTAGCCTAGGAAAAAAGTAAGGGATTGGGTAACATGTATTAGTTAACCATGGCAAAGCCTGAGCCACATTCCCTTGACCAAACAAACCGCAAAAGCAGAGGGAAATATTTAGTGGGTGCATATGAATGGATTGTAAGGAACTAAGCTTTCTCTCTGAAATGTTAATATGAAATATAGACCCATATATTCAATTATGCTATCTCTTAAAAGCGTTCAACCAGTTAATCAGTTATAAGGTAGATGCTGTTTCTTTTCAACAGGTAGTCATAATCTTTGGAAACAGCTGGAAACAAATTCTTAATTGTATCTTGCTTATAGATGGTTCCAGTTTCTAAGAGGCCTTGGGGTTATACAATTACCCAAACTACCTAAAGGTCAATCATATCCTGCAGGTTCTTTTCAAAAGAGGTATTTTCAAATACAAAATCCAGTGGCACACGTGCACTGTGGATTATGGTGCTTGCTTATTTGAAGTCGATAGAACAGCAAGACTGTAGGGTTGCATTATGTGGAAGAGATAGTTAAATATAGACTACCTCAGTCCCCATGGAAAAAATGCAATTTTATGCTAGTAAAAACACCTTGTTGTTTCCTTGGGAAGGTTCACTGGGCATATGATTGTATTTGTAGTAATGAAATAAATTGCCTCTTTACAAAAAAAGGCAGAATTCAGGTGCTGGAACAGAGGTTGTTTGCTATTCATGGAGCCAGCAGGTGTCATCACAATCCTTATTTCCCAGATAAGAAGCATGTATAATTTTGCATTCTTTGGACTTGTGTCCTTCATTGTTGTCTTAGGCAATTGATTCGATGAGTCAGTTTAGAAGATGGGCAGGAGGGAGGGGGAGAAATGAGTTCGAGACCTGTTATTGTTTGGCTGCTCCTGTCTGCCTAGCATAGAGTTGGTCTGTGTCTCTTGCTCTGCCCACGAAAATAACATTTCAGCACCAGATTTGAAATAGATTTGACATTATTTGAAAATTAGACATCAGTCTTCATTAATGAAGGGGAAAAATGTAGCACTTGAGAGTATCGGCATCATTGGTTTGTACACTTGGCCAGCTGAATTCAGGAGGAAAGGAAGTTTTTTTTTCCCTACCAAAACCCCCTCACTCACAGGTGTTATGCACTGGGGTAATGCAGGGCAGAGGGCCAAATCCTCAGCTGGATTAATTCAATTGATTTAAATGGTGTTAAACTAATTCACACCAGCTGCTCATCTGGGCCAGAATAGTTAAACCACTTGCCAAACCTCACCTAAGAAGTTTGTAGGAGAACTGGGAGCAGAACTCTAGGTATTGACTATATTATATTTCTCACAGGGACCAGTGACAATCTGTGCTTAAATCATCTGAAAATTAATGGTCACTCATACTTGCAAGCTACTAAGTAAATGCAGTGATCAACAGCTGCACTTGTTCAGAGTGAGCAATTAAGACACAAGAGTTTTGTTCTAGTATTTTAACTGGATGACAGTGGCTATAACCTGCTGGGTTTGGTACAAGTTGTCAAAACAAGTAGTCTGGGGTCCAGTCTGTATTTGTGAGTATCTGTGGAAGTTTGGTTCGTAGGGAAGGGGTTTGATCTTCATTGAGCTCTTGACTCAGTAAAGGACTTGCTTGTCTTTGAATGAGATGTAAGATTAGCTTTGTACATAAGCTCTTTGCTGAATCAGGGCCTGAATGAGGCCAAGCTCAATCAGAATTGGTGCAGTACTATTCACAACTCTGATTTACTATTCTAGTGACCCATACAATCTTTTGCTCTTCTTAAATTCAGCTGTTCTATCTCCTACTTCAAAATCAAACAAATGGGGAAAAAAAGAAAGATCTCCAAGATCAGTATGTCTGACTGCAATTTAAACAAAAGGGTTTTCTCAAAATGGGGCTGAGGGAAAATACCAAGCAAGATACCAGCTCAGAAAACATTTTCTCCTCTTGCTCTTGGCAAGAGAGGGCAGGCTGGCTGAAGTTACTAACAGCCACATTTTTTCTGTTCTGTGTTATTTTGTGTTCAGGTGCTCCCCTCCCCACCTCAAGTTACACTGCTGGTTGCCTTTAACCTCAGGAGACTGAACTCCATGGCTCAGGAAGCCCCTTCTAATCCTTTGCTCTTAACATAAGTCTGGTTTTTCTCTTCATTTTGTGCAAGAGGAGAAGATGCTGAGGCATTAGCAATGATACCAAATGCACAGGCTGCTTTGGACTTGGTGTTCATAAGAAGGGCTAAAAACTCTGCAAACACAAAGACTAAGTATAGACAGTCAAAAAGCCTGAGGCTGAATTGATTCAGTCTTTGCAGTTTAGATGAAGATTTACAGATTAAATTGAGATGCAAGTGAACACACATTTAGCTGTGGTTCAGGAAATGTAGCCACATGCCTGCAGTGGCTCAGGCCGGGGGGTGGGTCAGGTTGGTTACAGCACAGCTCTCTAGCTCCTGAACATCAGGGGCTGTATGTTCACTTCCTCTTCCTACTGCCGCTGAGGTCTCTGGGACTTGCAGTCTACAATCACAGCAGCTGGTCTTTGCAGGGTTGCTTATCACTTCTTCCTGCTTCCAGGTGCCTCTGGGATTTGTAGTCTATGGTCACAGCCAGCAGTAAGTTTGGGTGGGGAAAGGGGTGCTTAATTCCCCCTTCCTGGTCCTGGATCCCAGTTGGGGTTTGCCTGGGGGAGCAGTTCCCCCCCACCCTGCAGATTGGGCTGCATTCCCAGCCAAGCTTGCCCCCCCACCCTTTTCAGCCAGTTCTCACTGTTCCAGCTAGGGAGCAGAGGGGCGGTGCCAGCTCTGCTCTCTGGAGCAGACAGCATAGCTCAGCCCAGGGCTACAAAGCATGCTGGGATGCTGGGGGCTATGATTTAACTTGAACCAGAAAGGTGTCTGGGACAAAAGTTTCATAAACTGGTTTGACCCAAAACAGCTGAGTCTGGTACTACATTCAACCAGGTTTATTGTAAACCAGTTTTAGCCATTTTGAAGCTGGTTTGTGTGCACTGAGCTTCTGTTCTGTTACAGGTTTAAACCAATTTCTGATCACTTAAATCAGTTTATGTGCAACTTCTGTCCCTAGCCAAAGGGTTTGATGAAAGAGGCCAAAATTCCAGGAAGTCATTAGTCAAATGAATGAGAGAGAAAGGTTTGGTTTCATATATCTGGGCTATAAGCTCCTGTTTCAAAAACAGAGAATAAAAGCAAAAAGAAGGTTCCTATGGCCAAAGCAGAGGAATGATAGTCAAGTCGATGACAGTCAGAAGAGAAGACTGAGTGGGGGCCTTTACCTTCCTGAAGGATGGTTTCAAAGAGGATATAGCTAGACTTTTCTCAGTGGTGGCAGATGACAGAACAAAGAGCAATGGGAACTTGCAGCAACCTGCAGCAAGGGAAATTTAGGTTGGAAATTAAGAGAAACTTTTTCACTAGGAGGGTGGTAAAGCACTGGAACAGGTTACCAACAGAGGTGGTGGAATCGCCATTGTTGGAGGTTTTTAAGGCCTGCCTTGACAAAGTCCTGGCTGGAATGATCTAGTTGGGGATGGTTGTGCTTTGAGCAGGGAGTTGGACTAGATATGACCTCCTGAGGTCCCTCCCAACCCTAATTTTCCATGATTCAAGTGATCTGGGTTGCAGTCCTGTAGTGGACATGCTACGTGATCTTCAGCAAATTGCTCAACTTCCCCGTGCCTGTGGTGTTCCACAGACACAATGGGAATAATGGTAGTTATTTATCATTGTTATAGGCCTTGGAACTGTAAATGATCAACCTGCATGAGTTAAAATTTGTTAGTGTAATTGAGTCTGACCTAAATAGTGCTCCCCTTCTGTATTGAAACAGACCTTGGCTCAGCCTGTATGGTCCATAAGAATAAATAAAACACCCAGCATAGACTTTCTAGACCTCAGCCCTGGACAGATGTTCAATGCCCACTATTACTTTCTGAGAAAAAGGATAGAGCTTGGCTCTGTCCCTGCATGTGTACTAGGGGTGTGTGAAACGGACCCTATTCTATTCAGATTCTGATTCGCCCAAATCAGGGACAGTTGTAGTATGAATTTTTGCATATTAGTTATTATGTAGATGAACGTTGTGTGCCCTGTGTACCTGAGTGTCTGTGTGAGAGGGTGAATGGTGAAAGAATGGTAACTGTTTGCATGAGAAGATGCAAGATTTAACATTGTATAAGCAACAAGGCTCCGATGTACAAGTTACCAGACAGTAAACTAATTAAGCTAATTAATGGATGGCTGAAGAACTTGTCTGCAATCAAGTTCAAAGAAGATAGTGAGAAGAAGGAATTCTGCATATCTTGCCTGCCATTCGAACTACACAATGCTTCAAGAACATAATGCTTCAAGGCAAAGATACCAAATATACAATGACTGGAATGACCTCATTGAAGATGCACTAGATTGACCTAAAGACTGAGCATGGAAAAACCCCAACGCTAAACAAAGATTTGAAATCCCTATAAAAGTGAGATGCAGACAAGCCAAGATGGGGAATAAAGGGAGAGGAAGAAAAGCCAAGATGGGGAATCCACTCTCTGCAACCTCATGGAGCACAGGCATTCATGCCTGTATACCCCTGGTAATATCCTCAATAAGCCTGGACCCGGCCATGCAATGCTAATATTGAGTAACATCTGCTGGTAACTATAACATCTTACTGGAGTGGTTTTGTCTGTATGTCTGTTTGTATGACTGGTGTGTCCAAGCTCATGTATCTGTTTCATGTAATCAATAAATGTAGCATTTTGCCTTATCTCCCTTTTTAAGGTCTCACTCTTAATTTGAGCTATTGGCAATTTTAAGTAACACAGCGATTTGATAATTTGATTCAGATCACTGTCCCCGATTTGGTTCAGCCGAGTCTGAGTCTGAAGATTTGATGTTGATTCAGAGAATCAGCCATTTGGGCATAGACACAGCTTTAAATGTTTTTTCTACGTACCCTAAGGTACCAGGGTATCATGAACACTTAGATGCTGGGGCAAGTGGAGCGTCCCACAGTAGCATGGGAGTTGGGGGGCCCACATGCGCGGCAGCAAACCTGCAAGTGGACCAGAAGTACTTCCGGTCCACTTCTGGGTCCGCTGGGGAGCACACTGGGGGGCCCCCAGCACCTGTCCCCGGCTTGGTAATTGGCCACAGGGGGACCCTGGGTGCCCCCCCAGACCAAGGAGGCACCATTTGCCGAGCCGGGGGGAAGGGTCCCCAGTGTGCTCACCGGCAGAACCAGAAGTGGATCGGAAGTGCTTCTGGTCCACTTCAGGGGCTGCTGCCGAGCACGCTGGGGAGCCCCCCATGCTTCTGTGGGACACTCCATGTGCCCCAGTTTCGTAGCACTCATGAGCTGCCTGGTCCCTTGAGGTATGTAGAAAAAAAATTTAAAGCTGTGTCTATGTCCGAATCTCCAAATCTTTCTGAATCTCTCCGAATCAATTTGGAGGGTTCTGCTTTGATTTGGAGAGATAAAAGAGTCCTCTGATTCGATTCAGATTCTGAGATTCGGTCCCTGAATTGGGCCGAATCTGCTGAATCGAATCAGGGACTGAAGCTTCGCACAGCCCTAATGTATACCCTCTGAGAACTGGGAAAAGGGGATCACAGAAGAGTTTGTGCTTCAGTGAAATGCATACAGTTCAGTAGGCTTATTGGCATGGCAGGTCAAACCAATATTGCCAGAATACTCTTATTAAAAACAAAACAAAACAAAAAACCACCATTAAAAAAACCACTGGGACATCAAGGAGTCCTTCAACACACTGCTAATGATTAAATGCCATAACACAGTACTCCTTAAATCAGAGAAAATGTGCAATCTCATATATCATGGTTTTGTGCTGGGGATCAACTAGTATTAGGAACTACTGATAAAATATGACAGGGAGAGGATAGGGGGAGCAGGGAAGGAAGGAATGGTTGACAATTTTCCAGCTCTGCCACTGGTTGATCAGATGACCTTGTGCCTCAGTTTTCCCATCTGTATAACAGAATATGATAGTGACTATCTTTGTTAAAGTACTTCACAATCAAGCTGATGTAAGAGAACCCTATCATACTGATGTCATTCATCACTTATCTATAATAATCCAAACCAGAAAGTCAAAATGAAACACTCTGACTGTCTTGAAAAGAAATGCTGTGATTAAGTTATTTCATTATTTCCAATTTTTTAAAATTAATTGGAAATTTTGAGTTTTGTCTGAAAGGAAAATATGAAATGCTGGCATTTGGCTTGGAATGTAAATTCTGAGTCTAAATGTGACCATCGATACATTGTATTTGTGACTTTAAGATTTTAGCCCTGTTTGAAATCTCCCCTCTACCACACTGTGCCACTTAATTTACTGAATCTTGACCATATTTTTTACTGAAAATGGTGTCAGAAGTCTGTCTTGTGTGAGAGTTGGTTTTTACTGTACAGAGATTACTCTGGAATTATTTCATTTTTCCCTATTTTATGAACCCAATTGTTTTTATTTTAGGAACAGGGAATATACAAACATTAATCCCTACATTTTATAAACCCTTTTACTTATTTTTGGAAAGTGCTTTAAGATCTAACAATTAAAAAGGTTTTTATGAATACGGAGTAGTTTTGTTTATTATTGGTAACATTATAGTGTTTCAACATGGTACTTTAGTTAGATACATGGTTCATAGATTCATAGATGCTAGGGTCAGAAGGGACCTCAACAGATCATCGAGTCTGACCCCCTGCATAGGCAGGAAAGAGGGCTGGGGCTAGATGACCCCAGCCAGATGCCTATCCAGCCTTCTCTTAAAGACCCCCAGGTAGGGTAGAGCACCACCTCCCTTGGAAGCCCATTCCAGATTTTCACCACCCTTACCATGAAGTTTTTCCTGATAGCTAGTCTAAAACTGCTCTCTGTCAGTTTGTGACCATTGTTCCTTGTTACCCTAAGAGGCGCCCTGGTGAACAGAGCATCTCTGATCCCTCGCTGTCTCTCCCTAATGAATTTGTAGGCGGTCACAAGATCACTTCTCTGCCTTCTCTTGTGGAGGCTGAAGAGGTCCAGGTCCCTCAATCTATCCTCATAGGGCTTGTCCTGTAAGCTCCTAACCATGTAAATGGCGCTCCTCTGGACCCTCTCGAGTCTATCAACATCCTTCTTAAAGTACAGTGCCCAAAACTGGATGCAGTACTCGAACTACGATCTGACCAATGCTGCATAGAGGGGAAGTATCACCTCCTTGGTTCTATTTGTCATGGATCTGCTGATGCGTGATAAAGTGCGGTTAGCTTTGCTGATGATTTTATTTCACTCATTTTGAAGCTAGTTGTTCAATCCTACTTCCAACTAATTGAATGCTTATGATATTCAGATTTATCTCACTGTGGTCTCATTTAAGAGGTGAATGGTTTCTTTAAAGTCCAAGTGATCCTCCAATATAAGTAATTGAGAACAGAATTAGATTTTAATTCAGGTCTTATGTAAAAATAAATGTTAGCATTGCTTGAGAGAGGTAGAAATATAAATTTCATTTGTATTAGTGACCTGTCATTACCAATAATGTGCATGCATGTTCCAACAAACAGTTTAGAAGTGTTTTAGGTATCTTCAGTGTTTACAAATAATGTTATCAATTCAAAATGTTGGTGAGATTTTATTTCTAGACGTAAAAAAAAATTAAAAATTTCTAGATTTTGACAGACTTGAAGAAACAAATGGATGAGTAATCACACATACAGGTTTTATTGGATTGGATTTATTGTAATTATAGTTATTTGAACTTGAAAGAGCTTTTAAAATAATATACCTTTACACTATTGTCTACAGTCTGTACATAAATTATCTATTGTAATCTTTAGCTTTGGCTTCATATATTCTCCTTGGAATATTCCCATATTATAACATAATGGAACATTAAAACCTACTGAATTGAATCTGATAGTATCATTTACCAAAGATAAAGCAGAATAAATTATTATGAAATCTTGGTTCTGCTGGCCATGCTTTTTCAATGTTTCCTTTAGTCAAATTGCAAAACAGCTAGTGACTGAGTAACAGAATACTTGCTGTCAGATAGTATCTGCCAAGATAAAGATGCAGATTGCAGGCATTTTATAATGTTATATAGCGTGAACTCCTCCAGAAGTCAGACTTAGGCATTCAGCATGTGATCTTATTTAATTCTTTCTGCAGGTTTCTTCTATTATTACACCCTAAGAGCTCCTTGCTCTTTCCTCCATTCCTGTGAAGGTCTCGGCATGCTAGCCTCCCATCCCCTCTTATCAGTTACTTTTTGACCAATTTAAGAGAATGGGGAGAGACTCCTCAGCTCTGGATAGCTGCACTGAAAGGTCTGACCCTGCTGTGCTCCATTAGCCCCAGAAGGACAGCTCTTGCCAGCTTTACTTTTGTTTCTATGCCCCAATAATCCATGAGGTCCTTCTAGCCTTCCTAACCTACTGCTAGGAATAGAATTTTGTGTTTGCAGATACCTTCCCTTCTGCTGCAGGTCCTACTAGTCCAGTTCTCTCCATTCTGACACACTACTGGCTCAATGCTTGTTCATTTCTACCCACAGTTACTGATACCCGTCTCCTCTTGGTTCCAGGCTAGAGAGAAGAGTTGTGATCCAGCACTGGAAAGCAAGGTACTTATCAAAAGGGAAGGCATGGGGAAGTGTTCCTAATGTCAAAGAGGGATGTCAGCAACCTTAAGGGGGCACTTTATCCTGCCTGAAACTCTCCCTTTACAAGTTCTGGTGACTTTCTGGCTCTTCCCCTATGCTTAGGGAAGCAACTAATCCCTAGGGACCCAAGCACATGGTGATTAGTGACTCCCTTAAGAGTCAAAAGGGTCACTTTGCATCTTGGCTTTTACAGAAGTTGCAGTATTTCAGCATTTAGAATGCATGTTGTACTAGAACGGAACGGCACTTTGAGTTCTGGACAAACACCATGAGCACATCCTTTTCCTGCTCTCTCCTTAAGTATCAGGAAATTTGCCCATATGTTGGTATTCTGTGAGCCACTGCACAGAGAAAAAGCAGCCCCTTTTGAGAAGTAGAAGGTCACACACTTCATGCTTTCTTCAGGTTTCTGCTGGCTTCACACCCTATGGGATCCTTGCTCATTCTTCCATTCCCATGAAGGTCTGTATGCACTGCCCCCCCCCCCCCTCCGCCCCCACTTATGGTTGTCCCCCCCCCCCCCCCCCCCCCCACCTTTAATTTAGGGATTCACAGCTCAACTGCCCCTCACTTATGCCAGGACCTCTGTATATACACTGTCTGTGTTCCCCAAATCCTCCTCCCCTTGTTAGAGACTCTGAGCATCCCTTTACTTCTTTCCTTTCATGGTAGAGGCTCTCTGAATCTCCCTCTGGTGTCAGGATAGCATGTGCCCACCATATCCTTAGGGTCCCTTCCCCCGCCAGGGGTTCTACATACTACCTTGCAGGAGAACAAACCAGCAAAAAAGAGTTTGTTGCTCTACAGCTTGTGGATTCTTGATCTCTCCTTCCTAGAATTTCAGCACTTTGGCTTTTGAGCTGGAACCAGAAAAAATTGGGCTGAAAACTTGGAAGCAGTAAGTACATTTTTTTTTAACTTCTCAAACCACTTGGTTTTAGTTCTGCTGAACTATGCGATGGAAGTTCTGGGTAGATTTGCATTTTCTCTCAACTGGAAAGTCTTAAGAAGCCCATGCTAAGCATCCCTGAATTTTTCTGCAATAAGTATGGATGACTAACAGCTAGAGACATTAGTCATGTTTGTCACGTCAGTTGGTTGGCTTAATGCAGGGCCTTAAATCATTGTTAGAAGCACATTGTTTTCCACCAGTGCCATCTCTTTCTAAAAAGCTCTGGGCTATGGAGAAGTTGCCCTTGAACACAGTACTTCACCTTGCAGGACAGCTGTAATGAAACAGGAAAAGGAACAAGAAACCAGTAAGGGCTGGAGCATCCCTTGTCTCTTCTTGGGCATGTAAGGAACAAATAGGGAAATGGATGTTTAGACTACAACCATCTTATGAATTACAGCACATGTTGCCTTCATGGAGTTAGCTGATGGGGTGGGAGTGGAACAGAAAGAGATTTGGCTCTGTTCCCCTGTGTGTGGCCTAGACTGGCTGGCCAGATCTGAGGAGAGTAAATTGGACCCTAAAAAGGGGCAAAGTGCCTTAATCCCTTCCCAGAAAGAGGATGAGCTGGGAAGGAACTGTGCCTTCCTGAGCCTCCACTCCTTCCTGGATTACCTTCTTGGATGACTCAGCTATTCCCTGCCTCCTGCTCAAAGCTGGGTCTAACAGCCCTCTTGCCCCAGGATACTGCAAGCCTTAGGTTAATTCAAAACCAGGTCCTGTCTATTGCTAGTGAATTGAAATAGATTGGAGGAGAGCCTGGACTGAAACCCTGCCCTTACCCTCAGGCCCTGATGGTGCTCCTAGCTCTCAGTTGTGTAGGGTAAGTGTGCTGTGCTTTAAAGGGAAGGGATGTGGAGGGAGCCAATCAGATATTTTGCAGCCTCAGTCTGACTTGCTGGGCAAGTCAGACTTCCTGGTGTACACGCCACAGTGGTGTGTGTGCAAACACAGTGACTAATGTAGGCTGTGCAGCAGCAGAGCTGACGGCATCCACTTTCTTTACAAGTGGCATCATGCAGGTGGGAAGAAAGAAATGTTAGTGTGTGGGAGTGGGAGACTGTGAAAAGATCTAGCGCAGAGTAGAAATGCACAGAACACATGTGAGAAGTGTGCTTTGTTGTGCTGCAGGAAGAGTCAATGGGCTAAGAGGCAGCGTTGGGGGGAAGGGGGAGGAGCAAGGAAAAGATAGATGCAGAAAGACCAAATAGAACAGAATAAATGAACACCACATGGTACCACACAAGCACTGGCAGAGAGCAAGCTGTGTGCTGCTTTTGTGCCAAATATGTTGCCTGTCTGCAGTTCAACCCTGTCTCCAATGAATGTTGTAGTGGAAAATAAAAGCAAGATGTCAATAAACCAGGATTTGTTGCCTGATGAAATAAGGCTGGCAGGCTTCTCTCCCTAACTCTGATACTGATGTTTCTCAAAATCAGACAGTGTTGTAGCAGGCCTCACGCTGTCTCCATTGCTCAGTCATAGCTTGGAAATCCTAAATCAGCCTTGTTTCTGTATCTCCCCAGCCCTCAGAAGGGATTACTGGTAAGTTTTAAGGTGGCTGAGGAGTCCAATCCATGCTTGGCAAGTATTTCCACAGATATCCAAGTGGTGCCTTGGGGGAAGACGGGTGTGCACAACTGTTGGCCAAGATGTTGTGCACTTTCCTTCTTCCTCTGTTGTTTCTTGGCTTCCTGAGCAAGACAGTTCTCTTCAAAGTGGGCTGTAGTTTGATGTATGGTGCAGCGCCATTGAGACTTATTACCAGCCCGCACTTCCCAATTTGTAGAGCTGATACCACCCTTAAGGTATGCTTTCAGGGTGTCCTTGTAGTGCTTCCTCTGTCCTCTGTGGGTCCTCTTACCATGACTAAGTTGAGAGAAGAGGGCTTGCTTCAGGAGATGTGAGTATCAGCTATCTGCACACTGTGGTTAGCCCAGTGGAGTTGATGTTTCATGATCATTGCCTCAGTGCTGGTTGTTAGCTGCATAGAGGATGCTGGCATATGTGCAGTGGTCTTCCCACCTAATATGAAGGATCTTCCCAAGGCAATGCTGATGGAATCATTTCAGGTGCTTAAGATGGCTTTGTGTCACCCACATCTTGCACGCATAGAGGAACGTGGGGATAACCACTGCATTGTAGACCAGGATCTTAGTTTTTATCTGCAGATCTTGGTCACCAAAGACAGGGTGAAGCAGCTTTCCAAAGAATACATTGGCATAGTGAATCCTATGTTTGATTTCTCCCTGACTGGGAGAGGTGACTGCCAAGGTATGAGAAATGCTTGACATTTTCCAGGGGTTCTCCACCAATGGTAATTTGTGAGAGGAGGAGGGCAGCTTGTGTTGAGGCAAGCTGATGGAGCACCTTGATCTTCCCAATGTTAAGGGGGAATCCCAGGCGGTGATAAGCACCTTCATCAGTGTACCGAAGGGTGACGATGCCAGTCTTGGTAACATTCATTTTGCTGTGAAGGCACTGCAGGGTGAAAAGCTGACTGTCCATTGAATACTCAACCCCAATTCTGGGAGAGAGGCCAGTCATGGATGAGAATCAAAATCACAGCAAGGGTCCAGACTTATTGACCCAAGAGGCCCCTTACAGTCCTGTATCCCTACATATCTTTTCTTGGTATAACAGTGATGTCCCCATCATAAAGAAATATAGACTTGTTCTTATGGTCTGCAAGACAAACTCTTAATGAATTTCTGGATTCCATCCTTGAGCGAGGCTTATATTGATCAGAACACCTGGATGTTGTAAGTGGGAGAGTAAATGACTACCGTATTTTCATGCATATATCCTGCAGGTTATACACGATTTTACAAAAAAAAGCGGACGGGTGTGGGCTATGCATGGACTATTTTTTGAAAGGGGGCCAGGGCGGGAGGTGGTGGCACGGGCGGGCTCGGGGGCGGCGGCT